GCAATGCGATTTCCTGTTTCTCCCCCCGCCCACGCCACAAAGCATGCACCTCTCTTCTCTTGGCGGTCAGAGGCGGTAACGCGCTTGCGGCGTGCCGCCCTGGGCGCGCATTCTGAGAAGATCACGCGACCACCATCATGACCATGGTCACGCAAACGCGGAATCCGGGGACAGGTGTATTTGGTGGAACACCGCTGTTTTCTCCGTGCAGGCGGCGGCGGCGGCGGCGGCGAGGAGGGAGCAGGAGGCAGTCTGGCCCCTCCCCTCGGTGACCTTTCCACCAGGCGAGGCCAAAGACAGATGGGGAGAGAAGAGGGCAAAGAGGGTGGGAGTGGAGGGGGAAAAAAAATGGCATATCGAAGTGTCTCCCACACAGCCGTGTCCTCTTCTTGTGGCCCCTTGTTCGGCGGGGCTGGGGCAAGGGGGCAGTGCGGCATCATGGCGCGCACCGCGCATGGGCGCGGTGGCCTGCCTTTCATGCGTTGCCCGCGCCTGGGGCGCACATGGCCGCCGGGTCGACCCAGCGGTCGAACTCCTCGCCGGTGACATAGCCCCCCTCGATGGCCACGGCGCGCAGGGTGCCGCCGGTCTCGAAGGCACGATACGCGATGGCGGCGGCCTTCTCGTAGCCAATGTGCGGCGCCAGGGCGGTCACCAGCATCAGGGAGTTGTTGAGGTGCTCGCGAATGCGCGTCTCGTTCGCGGTGATACCTGGAGGTGTGTGTGTGTGCGTGTGTAAGGGAGGGAAGGGGGGGAGACATGGAGAGAGAGAGCAAGCAAAGGGGGAGCAGGAGTGCCCCCATGCCAGGAAGAGGCCACGCATGGGGCCCATGCAGGCCACCAAGGACAACCAGGGCACAGGCAAGGGGAATGGGCAGGAGGGAGAAGGCATGGTGGGCTCTCTTCGGAAAGGGGAAGAGAGAGAGAGAGAGAGAGAGAGAGAGAGGGAGACAGCCAGCTGCCCACAGCACGCACCCTCAACGCAATGCACCCGGAAGGACCGCATGCTGTCGGCCAGCAGGCGCGTGGACTCCAGAACGTTGCGCAGGATCAGCGGCTTGTACACATTCAGCTCCATGTGGCCGTTCATGGCGCCGATGGCCACGGCCGCGTCATTGCCCAGAACCTGCGCGCACACCATGGTCAGGGCCTCGCACTGGGTGGGGTTCACCTTGCCCGGCATGATGGACGACCCGGGCTCATTGGCCGGCAGGTTGAGCTCCCCCAGGCCGGACCGCGGCCCGGATCCCAGCAGGCGAATGTCATTGGCGATCTTGGTCAGGGCCACGGCCAGCGTCCGCAGGCCGCCCCCGTGCAGGGCCGACAGGGCCTCATGCCCGGACAGGGCGGCAAACTTGTTGGGGGCGCTCACAAATGGCAGCCCGGTCTCGGCGGCGATGGCCGCCGCGGCGCCCTCTGCAAAGCCAACCGGCGCATTGAGCCCCGTCCCGACGGCCGTCCCGCCGATGGCCAGCGCCAGCACCCCGGTCAGGTTCACCTCGATCGCGTGCAGGGCCTGCTCCAGCTGCGAGGCAAACGAGCTGAACGCCTGGCCCATGGTCAAAGGGGTGGCATCCTGCAGGTGGGTGCGGCCGATCTTGATGATGTGCTGGAAGGCTGGGCCGGCAAAAGCAGGGGGCGGGGAGAGGGAGGTGAGCATAGGGGGCCGGCGAGATCATCATCATCGTCAGCAGAGCAACAGCAGCGACAACAGCAGCAGCAGCGGTAACAGCAGCAGCAGCGGCAACAGCAGCAGCAGCAGCAGCGGCAGCAGCGGCAGCAGCAGCGGCAGCAGCAGCAGCAGCAGCGGCAACAGCAGCAGCAGCAGCGGCAACAGCAGCAGCAGCGGCAACAACAACAGCAGCAGCAGCAGCAGCAGCAGCGGCAACAGCATCACACGCATGACCCACACATATGCACGCGTACCTTCGACCTTCTGCTGGATGGCCGCCAGCAGCAGGCGCACCTCGGGCAGGAGCTTGTGATGGACCTGCTCGGCCACGGCAATGTGCATGGCCGTCGGGAAGGTGTCGTTGGAGGACTGGCTCATGTTGACTGAGGGTGCCGAGGGGAGGGGACGTTGCGTCCGGGAAGCCGCGACAAGGGCAGTCAGCAAACAGCGGCCCCCGGACCAAGGTGAGGTGACATGCTGCGCGCACCGTGGTCATTCGGGTGGACCGGCTTCTTGGAGCCAAGCACACCGCCGGCCGCCTCGATGGCTCGGTTGGAAATCACCTCGTTGGTGTTCATGTTGGTCTGGGTCCCGGAGCCGGTTTGCCAGATCTTCAGCGGGAAGTGCGAGTCCAGCTGCCCGGAGATCACCTCGTCGGCCGCCGCAATGATCAGGTCCGCCAGATTCTGCGGCAGCAGGCCGAGCTTGGCGTTGGTGATGGCCGTCGACTGCAAAGCCAGGGGGGGAAAAGGGCGAAAGGGGCCGGGGCCGAGGACCGGCACAGGGTCAATATGAGGGCACATGCTGGCCGAGCATCGGGCGGCGAAGTACGAACCTTCTTCAGGATGCCCAGCGCACGAATCATCTCTGCGGCAAAGGACAAACAAAGGTCAGTATCCGGCAGGAGGCCCCCCCCGCTGGCGCATGCGTGCGTGCGTGCGTGCGTGTGTGTGTGTGTGTGTGTGTGTGTGTGTGTGTGTGTGTGTGTGTGTGCGCTTGCCCGTGTCGCGGTGCGCACCCCGTGGGAAGACATCGTTGCCGATGGCGAAGTTGTCCAGCGACCGCTGGGTCTGGGCGCCCCAATACCGGTCCGCGGGAACGGCAATCTGGGGACCGCCGGCGGGACGGCGAGCGAGGGACATGGGCACAAGCGAAGGCGAGAGCGGTCACCGGGGTTAGCCTTCAGCCGGCGACAAGGGGGCATGCAAGCAAAGCGCGGCGATGGATTCGCACCGAGCCCATGGTGTCGGACTCCTGGCGCGTGGCCCCGGGAGCCACGCCCGGAACGGCGAGCTGGGGCACGGGGAACCCTGTGAGCGGGCTACCAGTCGGATGATGGGGGGCACTGTGCGACGTCATGGCGAGGTATGTATATGGATGTGTCTATGTCGATGCGTAGGGACACAAAGGGAGGCGAGCGAAAGTGGCAGGGAGGGGGAGTGGAAAGGGGTTGCCCCCCTTCCGCCCGGGCGGCCACCTTCCCACCATCGTGCCTCTTGAGCCCGGGGCGCATGTGTGGGCTCGGGCACCGGAGACGGTGCGAGTGGGAGAGGCGCGCGGGGAGGGACGCGCGCGTGCTAGATGCTAAGATGGCCTCCTGCGCCACCGCCGTTGCCCCCGGATTGGGGCGGCCGAGGACATCAGGTAATCCTTCTCCGGGCGAACAGGGTTCAGCTCGTGTCGCCCCCCCCCCCCCTCCCCCCCCCTCCCGCCCCCATCCAGCCCGCCCCATCGCCAGAGGGGCATGATGGGCCCCGCGCCGATCCGTCGCCGCGCAGTGGGCACGGCTGGTGGAGCGCGCCCGGGCCAGATCGAGCTCCCTCTGGGCCGGGTGCTCCCGCTGGCCCAGTCCGGCCTGTCCAGTGTCATTTGCATATGGCTTCCGCCCGGCCGGCCCCTCTCGTGGCCTTCCTTCCAGCACCGTCCGGTGGGGGACACGCCGGGGGTTGGGCGATCAGCACGTTGCGCTGGCTGCCCCGCGCCGGCGCGGGGCTCTAACACCACAATGACTTCAACCGGTTCCCCCACAGGCCGCGTTGGCCGGGGCAGCCTGCCCAGGATAACTTGGGTCGGCCGGCTGGCGCCTGCGCCAGGCCACTTGCCCGGTGTCCGCGAGTCAGGTCGCCGCGCGGCGGCGGCGCACAGGCAGGACGCCCCCAAAGGCCCCATGAGGCGGCACCTCGCGCAGGGGGTATCACACGACACGGGGTCACGCCCAAGGGGGTCACATCACGCCTGACCCCTTTTACAGATGGAGCCGGATGATTGGCCCTGGGGGGGAAAAAAATAAAACACCTTGCGAGGAGCCGCCTTCCGGGGGGGGGGGGGCGCGCGTTCGCGCACATTGCGGCACATTCACACATCCGCGCGCCGAGTATCCCCGGGGCCCGCTCCACGGGGGGCGCCCCGGCGACGGATGTTCCCAGGGCCGTCGAAGTGTTTGGGTGTTGTTCGTTTCGCCGTTCGCGCTCGAGAGGCGAGCCCGGCCTCGGGGAGGAGGCGACCGGGCGACCGGCGTCAAGCCGCGGGGTCCGATGCGTCCTGACATTCGCGTCGGAGGGGGACCGGCGTCGGGCCGACTCGGTGACGCCTCGCCCGGGCCATCGTCCCCCCAGTGGCCTCTCCGGTGGGAGATCCGCCAAGGGGAGAGGGGGGTGATCTCCCAGAGTCCAGGGGCATCCCCCCTCCCCCCTGAGACCACTGGTCCCTAGCGGCGGCGGTGGCGGCGGCGCCCGGCGGCCTCGCCCGACGAGAGTGGGGAGTCGGTCCTGCCTGGCGGCGGGCCCTGGCGCGTCCGCACAGGGGCGCCGGCAAAAAGGGCGCCGACCAGCCCGGCCCGGGCCCGGCCCCAGGCCGCCATTCCCCACCTACTCTTCCTTCCCTCCTCCTCCGCCCCCTCCCCCGCACTTTTCCCCTTTTTCCTCCTCCCCACCCCCCTCCCGCGCGCGCGCCTGGCCGCAAAGCACATCCACCCACCCCGGCGGGATCCATCTGAGGAAAAGCGAGATGTCGTTGACAATGTCGCCCTTCGGCGGCGCGAGGCGCCTGCTGTCCCTGAGCGTGCTCCTTGTCCTGGGCATGCTGGCCCTGCTGGCCCTGCAGGCCGACGTCGCCCAGGCCAAGGGAGCAGATTACTATGCGCTGCTTGGCGTGAGCCGTGGTTCCTCGGCCGCCGACATCAAGAAGGGTGCGTTTGCTTGTGGTGGGCCTGGCACGCGTGCGGGTCCTGGAGCCGGCGCGCGCCCGCAGGCCGGCCCGGAGGAGCCCCGCATCCATGGCTGCCCGGCCCTGTATTCCGCTCGCCCCGCTCCCCGTCCGCATGCTGATTCCCGCCCCGCTCCCTGTCCGCCCTTCGCACCGTGTCCAGCCTTCCGCGCCAAGTCCCGCGAGTACCACCCGGATAAGAACCCCGGCGATCGCGCCGCCGCCGAGCTATACATGCAAATTAATGCCGGTATGTGGCGGCAATCCTCCCCCTGCCCCTTTCCCGCCCCTCCTCACGGCGTCAGCTAATCCCTTCCTCCCCCCCCCCCCCCCCCCCCCCCCCCCCCCCCCCCCCCCCCCCCCCCCCCCCCCCCCAACGCCCCCCCCCCCCCCCCCGCCCCCCAAACCCCCCCCCCCCCCCCCCCCCCCTCCCCGCCCCTAGCCTACGAGATCCTCAACGACCCCGAAAAGAAGGCCGTCTACGACCAGTACGGCGAGGAGGGCCTCACCAAGATGCAGCAGCAGCAGCAGCAGGGCGGCGGTGGCGATGGCATGTGGGATCCGTTCGGCTTCTTCGGCGGCATGTTCGGTCACAACCAGGGCCATGGGCACGCCCATGGGGCCCGCGGTGGCATCCCCAAGGGCCCGGACTCCTACATTGAGGTGCCAGTCAGCCTGGCGGACATCTTCTCCGGCCGGGAGATCCCGCTGTTGCTGAACCAGCAGCACGCCTGCCCCAAGTGCTCCGGCACCGGGGCCAAGTCCCCGGAGCATGTGGGCGAATGCAAGGTCTGCAAGGGCCAGGGCTCCACCGTTGGCCAGGAGCAAGTGGCCCCGGGGATGTTCATCCAGCGCCGGCAAACGTGTCGTTCATGCGCCGGCCGCGGCCGCGTCATCACCCAAACCTGTGCCGCGTGCGGCGGCAAGCGCGTTGAGCGCGGCGAGCGTCGCATCGTTCTGACTGTCGAGCCCGGCGTGCCGGACGGGCACATGGTGGTGCGTTTGGCTGCCTCCCCCCTCCCCCTCCAGCCGTTCTCCCACATGAGTGTCCTTCTTCTTCTTCCTCTTCCTCCTCCTCTTTCTGATGTGCCTCACACAGGCAGCTTCTGACACACACACACACACACACACTCATCCCTCCCCCCTCCCAATGCCCCGGCATACGCAGACCTTCGACTCGCAGGCCGACTTCCACCCCGATCACATGCCCGGTAGCCTGCTCATCAAGCTATCCACCGAGCCGCATCCCCTCTTCGAGCGGCCCATCAAGAAGGCCCCCCACCTGCTGATGAATGTGGAGCTGACCCTGCGCGAGGCGCTCCTCGGCTTCGACAAGGAGTTCACCCACCTGGATGGCAGTAAGTTCAAGGTCTCCCGGCAGCCGGCCGGCCCCGGGGCCACCGTCGCCCCGGTCCAGCACAATGAGCGCATGCGCCTGCCGGGGCTCGGTCTGCCGGTGCACGAGGGTGGTGCTTCGGAGCGCGGCTTCCTGGAGGTGGTCTTCACCGTGGCCCTGCCGAAGAAGCCGGTCGCCAGCAAGGAGGCCGCCGAGCAGCTGGCCAAGGCCTTCGATGCCGCTGGCTTCTAGGCCACCTGCTCGCCTGCCATCTTTCTCCCTTTCCCGGCCCGTCCCCCCTGCAGGGGATGTCACACAGGCTGGGGCCCCTGCCGCCCCAGCTGTGTCCCAGCCAGCAGCATAGATCCCCCTCCCCCATTTCACAATAACACTCTCCCCTCTCTCCATGTCCAGCCGTGAGTCTCCCTCTCTCCCACCCCCACGTCCCGCTTCCCCCGTCGGCGCATATATGTCCCAAGCCCCCCGTCTCTTCATTACGTTCCCCCCCCCCCCCCCCGGCGCCCCCCTCCCCCCTCCCTCCGGCCCCCCCCCCCCCCAGCCGCATTTTCCCCCCCCCCCCCTCTCTCTCTCTCCCCCGGGCTGCTGTCGCCCCCCCCCCCCTGCCTCCGGATGGCTCCGTGCCGGCTGTCCCCCCCCCCCCCCCCCCCCCGTATGCGCGAGGGACAACTCGTCTTGCAACACATATTTATTTTTACACGTGAGGTGCGCGCGCGCCCTCACACAGGAGGACAGCAGAGGGGGCCGTACATGCGCGCGACATCGAGAGGGCGAGATGGAGAGGGGAAAAAAGGGTGGCAGAGGGGGGGCAATCCCCTCCCACAACGCGGCACCGAGACACACACAAGGCGCACGGCCCTCTTGTCGTCTGCCACAGCGTGGAGGGACGTCCCGTCTCTTTGTTGTCTTTCGACCCCCTCTCTCTCGCTCATTCTCCCAAGAGGGAGAGAGGGAAGAGGGGGGGGGGGATGGAGGAGGGAGGTCCGCCACATCTCGGGGGCACACAGCACCCCTCCCCACCGCTCCCCTGCTCATCTTCCGCGTCTTTCTCCCCGGGCCGAGGTACTCCCCTGGTGCCACACAAAAAAGCACATTCACGGTGCATCGCACGCACACGCGCCGAATGTCTCTCCCTCTCGCCCCCCCACATTCCGCACACACATGACCCCCCGCGCGGCTCTGCCGCTCTCTCCCCCTTGGTAGAGGGGGGAAAGCACAGGCGCAGGGAGAGGGAGATGCGGGAGGGGGGGGGGGAGAGGCGCATGCACGCGACAGGGTCGCACACGGACACACGTGTGGTCCCCCGTGTGCACTTCTCCACATAGCCACGCGCACATGGCGCGGGGCGCGCCCCGCACACATGCGCCCTTATCTCACATCCAGAGGGGGGGGGGGCTACAGCAGCCGCCGTGGCGGCGCGCGGCTCCGGCACGAACACACCAAGCCGGCTCTCCCCCGCCTGCACCACACTCAATGGTGATCATCATGCGAGAAGGGGTGGCTGCGGACCTGCTCCAGAAGAGCCTCACGCAGGGCCTGGCCCTCGGCCGACATCTGGGGATGGTGCTGGCCGCCGCCGCCGCCGCCGCCGCCGCCATGGTCACCGGTCATGGTGTCATAGTGGTCGTAGGACCTCCCTCCACGGGCGGCGGCATAGTGCTGCTGGCCGCCGCTGCCGCCGCGCATGGACGACGAGCCGCCGGTCTGCTGGTGCCGCGAGGTGCCGGATGGGGAGAACTCATAGCGCTGGTTCATCATGCTCGAGGAGGAGGCGGAGCCCCCCTGGTGGTAGGAGTCGGCCAAGTGGGCGCTGCCGCTGGTGGTGCGGCGGGAGCCGTGGGAGCGCGAAGCGCCGCCCGACCGCGAGGAGGACCAATTGTTGGTCTGCTGCTGCTGGTACTGGTGGTGGTGGTGCATGCTGCCGCCATCGAAGCTGGCCGGCGCGGCGCTGGAGTCCACGATCACGGTGTTAGTCATGATCGGGCTCTCCCCGCTGGCGGTGCCTTGGAGCTTGAAGTCGCGACCGGCGGCCGGGCCGGCGCCCATGCGGGCGGCCGATCCCTTGCCACCGTGCTGCGCCTTGCCGGCTCCGCCAGCGTGGGACTGGTGGTGGTGCTGCGACATGTGCTGGGACTCGTACTCCTCAAAGGCGCCACCGGCCATCATGTGCGAGGACGACTGCTGCTGCTGCTTAAGGGTGTTGTGCAGTGATGGGACTCCACCAGAAGCAGAACTGGTGCCCTTAGAGGAAGTGAGCCCATCACGCGCGACTTTTCCCTGGCCGTTGCGGCTGGAACGGGTGTTGGAGGAACCGGCGGGGCGCTGCTTGCCGCCGCGGATGCCGCCGGAGCCGGCGGCCGAGGAGCCGCCCATGTGTTCGGCATCCTCATCGCGCTGCTCGGCCGCCATGACCATCATGACGATGTTCTCGCGCGAGGAGTCCTCATGACGCCCGGCGCCGGTGCTGGCATGGATGTACTCGTCGTGCGTGAAGTGCGCGCCGGACTCCGGGTCGAAGGCCTTGGTCTCGTTGAAGACCGACATGACATTGCCGCTGTCCGACCGGGCGGCCATGCGCGTGGAGGACAGGGTGGCCCCGGTGTTGGAGTGCTGCTGCTCGAACTGGATGACCCCGGTGATGTCGTCATCGTCATCGGAGAAGTCGCCCATCTCCAGCACCTCGTCGAGGTCCTCGTCGGAGAACTCCTCCACCTGGTAGCGCGGGTGGTGGGCATAGTGGTTGCCGGTGGCGCCGGCCCCGGAGCCGGTGCTGGCCGACCGGCTGTGCAGGTGCATGTTGTCCATGTCCTTGGACAGGTCCCGGCGGCGGGACATGCTCCCGGAGGAGCTGCCCGCGTGGCGGCGCCCATGCAGGCTACCGCCGCTGATGCTGATGTTGTCCACCATCAGGGTGGGGTCCCCGCCGACGATCATCTCCCCGGCCGGGCGCCCGTGCATCGAGCCCCCGCGGTGGAGTTGGTGCTGGTGGTGGTGGTGCTGCTGCTCATGGGCGCTGGTGCCGCTCATGCTGCTGGTAGACCGGGTCACGCGGCGCCCGGCACCGATGGGCTTCTGGTAGTGCACCGGGATGATCTCCCCCCCGGCCGAGTGGATGGAGTGGTGCTCATGCTGGTGGTGCTTGTGGCCGCCATGGTGGTGGTGGTGACGGTGGTGGTGGTGGCCGCCGGCCGGGGTGGCCATGGACGCCTGCTCGCCCGACACGCCGCCATACTTGGCCGTGGCCCCGTACGGCGACAGGGGAATGTGCGCCGGGGCGTCGGTCACCGCGCTGTGCACGCGCATGGTCGGGTGCCCGGGGATGGTGTTGCTGGTGCTGTAGGTGTCACCGTGGGCCGGGCGCATGCCGGAGTGGCCGGCCGACATGGGGATCGACCCGGCCGCCATGTGCCGGTCGAAGGTCGGCGACAGGGGCGGCTCCATGCCATGGTGCGAGTGGTGGTGCGAGTGGTGGTGCGGGTGGTGGTGCGGGTGGTGGTGCGGGTGGTGGCCCATCCGGCCGCCGCGAGCCGAGGTGGGAGCACTGCCGCCGGCCAGCATGGATGCATGGCCGATCCCCTCGTAGGTGATGCCGGCGGAGTTCGGATCGCCGGCCATCATGCCGGCGGTGGTGCCCGGGATGCTGGCAAACGGCACGGTCGGCGAGTAGGGCGCCGGCGGCGGCATGATGCCATGCTTGTCCACCATGTCGCTGGTGGAGGTCCGACGGCCGCTGCTGGAGGAGGAGGAGCCGTAGCTACCGCCGGAGGAGGAGCTCGACCGGCGGAAGGCCCGCGGCGAGCTGCTGCCCTCGCCGGAGTTCGGGTCGACATTCGGGTTGCGGAAGTAGTGCCGGCTCCGGTGCAGGAACCGACGGCGGTCGCTGCTGCCCATGCCGGCGCCCAGCGGCTCGCTCAGGGCCAAGTGGGCAGCCGGGTCCGGCAGGTGGTACACCGAGCTGTGGGGGACGCCATATTGCGGGCAAGCCCGATCGGCGCAGGGCATCCCCTCGAAGGAGGCCAGCGGGCGCAGCGGCGACGTCGGGCCATCCAGAGCATAGACATAGCTGTTGTTGGATGGCATCTGCAGCTGGTAGGGGGCCGTCTGCGAGGCGGCCGTCAGGCGGATGCGCGTCTCCGGCGGCATCTGGGCCAGGGGCCGGTACATGCGCGGCCCGCGGACATCCGGGTCGTCCAGGGTCGGCAGCGCATCGTCCAGGATGTGCGCGGCGAAGGCATACGCATCGCGCAGGGTCTCCACAAAGATGCGGGTCGACTCGATTTCCTCGCCCTCGCGCATGTTAATCCGGAGCATGGTGTCCTGGAGCACGCGCAGCGACTGCTCATAGCGATTGCGCGCGGTGATCATGCTGGTCTCGGCGTCCAGGTCGTGGCGGCGGCCGTTCAGGTGGTTCTGGGCCGACTCGAACTCCGACCGGCGGTCGTCCAGCTTGCGGCGCTCGTGCTCGAACAGGCGGACATCCTCATCCAGCACCTTGACCAGGGGCCGGACAAAGCGCTCGCGAATGATGGACTCCTGCTCGGCCATCACATGGCCGACGCGCTCCATGGCCGCACCGGCCTTGATCAGGGTGTTGCCGTAGTTGGAGTCCTCCGGCAGCTCGCAGCCGCAGTTGATCATCATCCGGCCCAGCAGGGTGGGGCCCGGCTGGTTGGACAGGTCCGGCAGGGCATTGGACCGGTAGCGCTGCGACTGGAGGAAGTTCCGGACCTCCTCATTGAGCTTGCCCAGGACAACCTGCTTGCGCTCAGTCATCTGGCCGAGGGGGAGGGGTGGGGGACATTGAATGGATGTCAGTGCGCAGAAACGCCATATCCCGTAGGGTGAGGCGCGCCAGCCACAGGTGGCACGGGCGAGGGCCAGCCCCGAGGTGTCGCCAGGCCAGAGGCCCAAGAGTGCATGGGTGGTGGGGGAAAGGGTGCCCTGCCTGCCGCGGTCCCCGTCTCGGCTGCGCACCGGCCGCCAGCCGGTATGTGCCGCATCTCGAGGCGAGGCGGGCACAGCGGGGGCATGCGGCGAGAAAGGAAGGGGCACGCACCATCTCCAGGGCCTGGAACTCGATGGTTGGGGCCGTGTTGGGATGAGAAGAGTAGGGCTTACCGGCCTTGCGGTAGCCCCACTGGAGGCGGACGCGTCGTGTGAAGCGTTGGCGGCCCGGAGCGCGAGCGCGAGCGCGAGCGAGAGCAGGCCGCAAATAGCCACAGCAGCAGCAGCAGCAGCAGCAGCAGCAGCAGCAGCAGCAACAGCAGCAGCAACAGCAGGCGGGGAAGGCCGGATACACGGGCACGGTTAACATGGATGCACATTCACCATATCTCGGGCTGGGTGGCGGGCGCCTCTGTGGACTAAAAAGCCAGCAAGATGAGGACCCTGCGCGAGACGCACCTTCTTGACCTTCTCCTTGAAGCTCATGGTGTCTGCTTCAATCCGGTCAAGGGATCACACAGGGGAGAGGGAGGCCACAGGCTGTGTCTGTGGACGTGTGGGGGGAAAACGGAGGGGGAGGTGGGGGAGAGGAGATCCTGCCAACCTGGGGGATCTGCACATGGGCGGGGGGCCATTCATCCACGGGAAATGTGCGGCCGATGGGCAAGAGTGTTAGTGGACAATTGTCCAGGCACGGGACGGAGGGAGAAAGTGTGGAAGGATGCGCGGGGAGGGGGCTGATTGCTCTTTGCCCACAACAAGATGGGGCCCTCTCTCCCGCGGGTTGGCCTAGCCCGAGGAGGGGCGCAGGGGGGAGGGCGGGGGAGAAGCACATCCTGTGCCGGCTGCAGGGTCACAGGGCAAGGATGTCTTGCGTGTGTGCATGCACGGGCGGCCTCGCGCACAAGGCGCGGCTGCGGTGTGCCAAAACAAAAGGGGCGAGGGAGGGGAAAGGGGAGGGACGGGGGAGCAGCACACAAGAGGCGCGTGTGGGGGATACCTGGAAAACAGCAAGGGGTGGCGAGGGGAGCAATCTGGCGAGCTGAGGTACCTCCCGCTGGCTGACGAGGTGCTCTTATATTCCTGCCCCCCGCATGGGTCTGGTCTCAGATGCGGTTGCCCGCGGCTCCCCCGGGGGCGCGAGTGTGCTTCCCTCTGCGGGTTAACCTACCCCCCCCCCCCCCCCCCCCCCCCCCCCCCCCCCCCCCCCCCCCCCCCC